TTTTTGCAGTGATTTTATAACATATTTAGGTTATAATTTTTAAATAAATAATTATATCTGCTCTACTCTGTATTGAGCACACTTTTAAAAATAGTAATTTTTGGTTATTGGAATTTATTCCGTATACACAAATCATATAATTGGATATATATATATATTCGCTTGAGGTATAATTAATTTCGGTTTTTGTTCATCAAAGATCAGTTTTGTTCTTTTCGCTAAGAATGCGTGGAACCCGAACACCTAGGCTGCTGGCATTCCCTAATTTCGGCATATGGTAGATTGTGATGTGTTTAACATCTTTGCTAAATCCCGTGTACTTTGCATATAATGCTTTTCACTAGTGCTACACCGTCAACGCTCTGATCTGGGCTCATCTTCGAACGGCGTTGCAACCAATTTCGAATTTAGCACCCAGTGTGAGATTTAGTGTTTTGCCCTGCATATTCTGTTTTATATATATATATATATATATATATATATATATATATATATATATATATATATATTTATTTAAGTAAATGCTCTGTTTATAAATATTTGTATCTATAAAAAGAATGTATAAACATAAAATGTCTTAAAATAATTGTCGGACTTTGTCCATTTCATAATGTATAACTATATATATATATATATATATATATATATATATATATATATATTTATACTCGTTTGGAAATAATGTCTAAGGGAAAATAAGGAATAAAAAAAGAAGAACTAAGACCATGAAATTGAGGTGAAAACAATCGTCCAGAATTCAAGCTCAGAGTCCAAAGAAAAAACCTCCAAAACAAGACAAGCATAAGTAACTACGTAAAATGCTCAATACGCTAAGTAGAGCAAACCTAAATATGAACCTAAAGAGCCAGGTAAACCTACCTAGGTTTCACCTATATGGATGGACAGGGTCAACTGACATACATATATATATATATATATATATATATATATATATATATATATATATGTATGTATGTGTGAAGAAGTATGATAAAATGAATAAAAGTTTTCATGAGACGTGTTTCATCCTTTAGGACATCAGACTAAACTACGACTACGCATGCGCACAATGAAAAAAGACAGGCTGAGAATGTTAAATTTAATTTCTTTTTAATATATGTATTGGGTGTATAGTCTATCCGATTTCTTTTAGGTTCTTATTCGTTTTGTTTATATTTCTATCACTTTTGTAATTAAATATCTCACATTGATATCAGGACAACTGCCAAGAAATGTGAAACGTTGTAAGAACATTTTTTTAAGCATTTCATCCCAATCAAGGTGGGAGTGCCAGTAGCACACAAGGGGTTACAGAGAGTGAGAGCAAAAGTAAAGGAGGGTGTTCTAGAAAAGGGTATAGAGAAGGACGGGGATCAGGATCGAGACATCAGAAGATGTCGATTGACATTACATTTGAATATTTAAAGATTATAGCTATCAGGGAAGCAAATAAGAGGAAGGGAGTTCCACTGTCAGGAAGTGAGAGAGAAGAAGCTTTTGAAGTAGAAGATACAATTACATTTAACTGTTTCGACAGTGAAAGGATAGGACCGAGATGCCAACCTAGTAGCACGCTTAAATTCATACAGTTTGCGAACCAGTGAAAGTAGCTCGTCAGAGCAGTTGCCGTGAAAATATTTGTAGAAAAGACAGAGGGAAGCGACAGGACCTATCATATTGCATCTCAGACTCTGTATTTTGTCTAGGACCTCGAGATGAACAGCGGGGACACCAGACCATATATTGTAGCAGTATTCAATGCAAAGACAAATGGTAGATTTTTAGATTTGAAGAATGGACTCAGGCGATAAAAACTTCCTGGCGCGACACAGAGAACCAACTGGATGCAAACTTATTTTGGGTGATCTAGCGATTAAAGCACTTTCTAAACGTTTTCGTCTTAGTGAATTATTTTCTCATTTAATTAAAGTGGCGTTTTTTTTTTATATCAAAATTGTGCTTAGGCTTGTTTCAGTGAACAACGCATGCGTTTTGTGTGTTGTTTCTAAAGGAGCAAGAACAATAAAAGAACAGGAAGTAAGAAAACAGAAATTAACAATGTGCATTATATTTAAGCCGGAAGAGAGTTCCACAAGAGAGAAATGCGAGAGAAGAAACTATTAGCATAGAACCTACGTATCTGAATTAGAGCACACCCGCTTCTTAAATAATGATTTTACTTTTTGACATAAGTGTGTAGCCTCTTCTTGTTATCACTGGAGACTTGTTGTTCTATGGATGCTATTCCAGTTGCACATCTCGAAAATACCTTGTTCTCAACAACCTTCTACTAATGCATGAAGCCTATCAGCATTCTAGAAACTGAACTTTAAACAGCCAAAGGATTTCAGCAAAAGTCTTGATATTAAGAAGGCTACCGTTCCACATTTAATCCCAGTAGTTGATCCTTAAGAATATGAAACCGGAGTTATCCCCGATTTTGGCCAAACTATTTAACCTGCCTGAATATCCAGATTATCTCAGAGGCTTCACGTTCGATTTAATTTTCAAGTTCTCTTTTAAACTCTTCTTCCACGTGCCAAACGTCTTATGGGTTTAGTTGGATCTCTTCTAAATGATCTCTTTATCCCTAAGTTGAAATGATAACCCCCTTCTTCCTGTTGTGGCCTCCTGATCCAGTTTTCCTCTCTACTGATCCTTCTTTTTAAAACTTATTCACCGTTCTCTTGATGATTCTTGAATGGACTTTGAAGATGGAAGCCAGAGTATGAATGTTCGTACCATTACTGAAATCCTGAATGATCCTTTTCCTCTCACCATTTCTCAGTTGAGCAGACACAGTGAGGCTAAGACAAAACGATTTTAACCTGTTCACTTTCTAGCTGAATAACTCTAATGGGTTTTTCAGTGATTCTTACGAAAAATGGTGTCAAGATGACTAAACGTCTTATCTGAAAACCTGGAAAAAAGCTGAATTAGTTTAGTGTTTTTTTTTGTTTTTTTTTTTTTTTTAGATATTAAACATTTTGTGGGATGGATGATGTTACACGGTTTGGACAATTTTGTGGTTACACCCGGTACTTGGAGAATGGTGAGTTCGCTGAACCGCTGCAGTAAGTTCCTCACTGCTCCTGCTATCCTCGACATTTACAAGAACCAGATCAGGCTGAAAATGGACTACTATCGCCATATATAGCAATGGACTACTATCGCCATATATAGCAATGGACTACTATCGCCATATATGGGAAGAAGCGGCCTTGTGGGTGATGAATCATTTCCCACCCATTATCACAGAAGAAACGTTGCAAGCCTTTCATTGCCTTATGGCTATTTCCATGGAAAGTATTCATATTAACTACATCCGTTAGTTCCTCCAGTTTTAACCCTCACGATTAAGACCCGCCATGCTAGGCACACAGTAGCGAGTCGCTTTTATTTCCTTCGTATTCCATTCGTCAGATGTAAGTTCCAGTCGAGCAGTTTATTCCCTTAAATCACTGGTTAGTGGAACCGGTTTCGAAGCGGACGTTTCCTCGATCACCACAATCTCTTAACCTGTTCAAGTCAACCGATATCTTCCCCACATATCCGCATAAACCGGACCTCTTACATCTTAATCTACTCTACTACGAGTGGCTTTTGAGGCTTGTAATGAGTAAAGATTATTGTAAAAAAAAGTAATTTTGAAACTCTTTCTGCATCTTGTCAGATACTTCACATATCTCTTGAAATTACTTCATCAGAAAATGGAAAGCCTCATTTGCTATTCATTTTTCTTTCTCTGAAGAATCCACTTGGTTCGTTAAGTTTCCCGAAATTAAATTTATATAAAATCCTAATCACAATTTCCATTAATCAGACATCATTTATTTTTTTTACCGAAAATGCGAGGGTAAACAGTCAAGCTCAACGAGAATATGAATAAATTAATTACGCTCTCTGAATTTATTTTGATGAAGTATTCCTATTAAATGATTTATTTTCGGGTTCGTATTTTCATGTTTATTGATTTTATCAGAACCTCCAGGAAATGAGATGAACTTGCACTTTAGGAAAATAGCATCAGTTAAAGCTCAAGGTCAGTGAGAAGGATGACGAAAAAAAAAGAAATAGTGTAACAAACCTTGAGAGTAAGACTGGTAAGTTAAAAAAAGAAGCGAGAACGGGAGACGTGGGCTTGGGAGAAGAGGTAAAAGGCCTCCTACTTTGGGAATTGCGTGTGTCCCCGACCCCCGTACTAGAGATCAGTGTTTGAAGCTAAAGTTGTTGTTTTTTTTTTTTAAAATCAGTTCATCCAAAACAAAGCGATAATATTATTGTTGTAACCCAAGGAAGGTTACTAAATAGAATAATCACACGAAGTTTGGTAATAAACGATAATACTCACGACAAGAACAACACATATAAGATTTGCCAGCGGCGCGTAAAAGTAGTCAACTGCTGGAAGTGAGTCAAGTGAATTCCACTTTGAATCTCCAACTGCAGGGTATCTATCAACCGACCCACGTGGTCAGATGTTGCACAAGACCGAATTTAATGTGGAGTATCCGAGCCCGTAAGTTCGGCCAAAAATCCCCCACCACCACCATAGACTCCGTATAAAACGGGGTCGGGTAGCTGTTTCCCGATACGAGACTCTGCCCTTCGACATAACCTCGTCTGGGGATCCTCTCTGCCCGGAGGCAGAGAGTTTGACCAGCACAGCTGGAGACGAATCTTCAACTCTAGACTAACATACAGTATTTACTACTGTATTTATGTGAATGGGGACATACACATTATCGTCCGTAGGCATGCTACAACAGTTGCTAAAACGCAAGGAGCTATTGGTAATGAAAAAGAATGAGAAGAATTTAGAAGGAACCTGAAGCCCAATCCTAAACAGGAAAAAAGGGATAAACCTGTACTCCTGTTCAAAATATAGGAGAAAAGTGAATTGTTAGGTTAAAAGTGGTGATTTAAATTTTTCTAGGCAGTTAGGTCCGCTTAACTTGGAAGACTGGCATTTTTTTCTTCTAGTATTTCACTTCATTCAGCCGTGCGTCGCTCATCCAGCCGTGTGTCGCTCATTCGGCCGTGCGTCGCTCATCCGGCCGTGCGTCGCTCATCCGGCCGTGTGTCGCTCATCCGGCTGTGCGTCGCTCATCCGGTCGTGCGTCTCTCATCCGGCCGTGCGCCGCTCATCGTGGCTCATCCGGTCGCTCATCCGGCCGTGCGTCGCTCATCCGGCCGTGTGTCGCTCATCCGGTCGTGCGTCGCTCATCCGGCCGTGCGTCGCTCATCCGGCCGTGTGTTGCGTTTAAGTAAGCTAAGTGAATGCAGAGACAAGATGCAAGAGAAATATTGTGTGCACAGGACGAACCACAGGAGAGAACGGCAAGTAAGTAATAAAGAATCGAGAAATTGGAAAGGATTCAAACATGGGTGAAACAAAAAGGAATTATCACTGACAAAAAAGTGAAAAGCGTAAGGAATGTTTGCAAAGAACTAAAAATTTAAAAGAAAGAAAACTGGAATAATGAAAGGAAAATGACTGTGATTCTCTAAGAATTATAGAGAAGAAAGAAAGGCATTGTCTCTAAGAAAGATAATAAAAACGACCTTTCAGAGGAAATAAGAAAGCATTATGTTGTGGTCGACGAGAGAGAATTTTTTTTTTCTTCCGTGTGAGTTCGAAGTCCTCGTCGCCTAGTTGTGGATTCCAGGCTGAAATCCGGTCCCAATAAATAACAAACGCCAGTAATGAATATAGGAAAATAATGTATTAACGTAATAATACAAACTGGTAAAGCAGGTTAGTAGTTCCAGGAATACGGGTTAGTAGCAAAATATATATACAGTCTTTTGGTATTGAAGTATCGCTGTATGACTTCTTACTGAGTCTACGTGCTTGCTCACTGGGACTCCTACAACGCTGTTACCTTACCCTCACTCTTCCGGTTACCTACAACCTTTTACTGTGTCACTCTGGACTCGACTCGACTCTTCGGTCTTGCACACGAGTCTTCACGTAGCCGTAGTATATGTATATACTGGGTGAGTCCATTTGTGTAAAAAGGGGAGAACCCCTCAACACATTATTTGAGCCAATGAATTAATTGTTGCTAAAACAAATTCTTCTGGTAAGACAGGAATTTATTTTTAACTCTACAACCCCTTTCCTCACAATCGAAATGTCTCAAGCGTTTCGCTACTTTATCGTTATTTCCATGGAAAATGTTCTGACGATCAATATTCTCCCGTTCCACTAGGTTAAAACCTTTATATCAGGATTTCTTTCGTATTCCATTGATTAAAGGATGTTTTATTCGGGAATTTTCTTTCCCAGAGCCGTTGGTTAGTGTAAAAAAAATTTCCGAGGGGATGTTTCCTCTGATAAAGACAATCTTAACGTCTTCACGTCTAGAGTCAACCCTTATCTATCCATATATCCTCATAATATGCAATTATGAAAACAGTTTATGAAACAACTTTATTCAGTAACCCTCTACCTTGAGTGACTCTCGAACATCGCATTGGGTGAAAAATTACGTAAACAAAGACAATGAATATTATACTATTTACATTAATCGGACTATTGTCCTCATCTTTGTCGCCATATTTATTTCAACGTTTCGGCCGTTATCCGCTCCGGTCTTCTACAGGTGGTTGGAATGTCAAACTGAACCCTTCGTTTCGCTCACTGGGGTAGACTGTTCTAGTTCCACGTGTCATGTTTAATCAATGTCAGTTATCAGTTATCTCTTGTTAATTCCCCTTTCCAAGTTCTCCACTGCCTTAACCGGGTATTGAACTCACACTGTTTGGGTCCTGTCACTGGATCTAACCAATGCCTTTATCCACTGTGCCGTGTGTCCTTGACGGTCGAAACGTTGTAATAAATATGGCGACAAAGATGAGGACAATAGTCTGAATGATGTAAATAGTGTACATAATACCTCATCTCAGAAATATAGACAGATAATGAATATTATCTTTACATATGTGGTGCTCCAAAAATGGTTTTTAAAATGTCATGACATTTCAAATTTTTCTTTTTCTTTTTTTTTTCAGAACTTAAGGAAATTATCGATGGAAAATTTTATATTGGATCGGAGAACCAAAATCTTGGAATTATTTTTATTTATTTATTTGAAGATGGAAATGGCAATGCAATGACAATCTCTAGTGTGCTGCATTGGGTTATGATCAAGAACAAAGTTGAGATGTGTTTTCAACAAGATGGAGTCACTGTACACACAGACTGGGCAACGATGTTGCTTCCATGGCGAATATTTGATCACCAGATAAATTCAGGAAATTCCGAAATTTTAGGATCCCTGTGTTCTCAAGATCTGAGGGCTACCGAATATTTCCTTCATTTTTTTTGTAATCATTTCACTCCAAGCAAGACAAGAAAGCCTCTAAGACGCAGAGGGTCGTTGAGTATAAAAGAATATGAGAGAAAAAAACAGGAGAAAGAACAATAAAGTAACAGAAATTAAAACAGAAGATAACGATTGACATTGCATTTAAATTTTTAAAGATGCAAGTTTACTGGTAAGTAAGAAACAAGAAGAGGATTTCACAAGTGAGAAGTGCAAGAGAAGAAACCATTAGCATAGAACTTACGGTTACATCTAGCCATTTCAACTGTAAAATTATGAGATGTTGCCACCAGTCTAGTACTGCGTTTAAATTCATAGTGTCTAGGAACTATAGAGGAAAGTAATATTTATTTTGAAAATACAAAAATGTGGCACATGGCCAAAAGGAGTGTGGGAGAAGGCTGATGTTCAATCTGTCTTATCTTAAAATTAGCTAGCCACAATTACTGATCCAAACATGCCACATTATTCCTTACATGAAAACAACACATTCTTACATATCATTTTTACTACAGTCACCATAATACCCCATAGTCTCTATGAAGTCCTAACTAGTTCCCATATATGCAACTTGTCTGTGAGGGGGATATTAATAAGAACATTTAACAATGAAACCCTAATGAATATTTACAATGATTACAAGTTTATATACAAGAAAGTGAGAAGTTCATTAGAGCAATTACCATGAAAGTATTTATAGAGACGGTACTGGTAAGCTACATTACGATGGTGGAAAGTGACTTAAGTTGCTATACCAGGTTAGGATAAATTAAATATCAGGTTCTTCTTTGTCTGTTATCAAGGATATGTAAATATATAGCTGGAGCACCAGACCATATGTAGCAGCAATATTCTAAGCATGGACGAATGGTTGACTTATAAATATGTAAAATAGGCTCAAGCGAGAAAAATTGTCTTGCACGACACAGTGAGTAACTTTCCTAGCAGCAGACTTAGCAATGGATAATCTTTCAATTTCATGTCAGTCGGGAATGTAGCCCGAGAAAGCGCAACGCGTCAAACTCCAGGTGGAGATTAGCATCAATCATATTGATGGAATAGAGAAAGGGTTCTCTCATATGATTAATAGAGAGCACTTTCGTTTAACTTCGTTTACAACAATAAACTGCAGACATTTCAGCAACCCAAGGATAAGAAATTTGAGGCTTGTAGCCAGAGTTATTAACCTCTATTTGGGAGAATGCTTATCAAAAGAGTGCGTATCTGTGAAATGAAAAAGGGGGGGGGCATTTATGTCCCGTATATCAGTCAAATTTAAGGCGGAGTTTTAGAAATTGTTTTTGTTTATTTTATTGTTTTTATTGTTTTTTTATTTTTTATTATTTTTATTGCTTTTTTATTGTTTTTTTTATTCTATTGTCTTATTGCTTTTTATTTTTTCATTATTTTTCATGCTTTTTTATTGTTTTTTATTGTATTTTTATTATTTTATTGCTTTATTATTGGTTTTGTTTTTTATTGTTTTTATTTTTAAGTTTTTATTTTTAAGTTTTTATTTCTTTTTTATTGTTTTTGTTTATTTTATTGTTTTTATTATATTTATTTTTATTATTTTTATTGCTTTTTATTGTTTTTTTCATTTTTTATTATTTTTAATTGCTTTTTATTGCTTTTGTTTATTTTATTGTTTTTTTTATTTTTTATTATTTTTATTGCTTTTTCATTGCTTTTATTTATTATATTGTTTTTATTGTTTTTATTTTTATTTTTATTGCTTTTTATTGTTTTTGTTTATTGTTTTTTATAGTTTTTTATTTTTTATGTTTTATTACTTTTTTATTGTTTTTGTTTATTCATTTTATCTTCGACATAATGCTGTTGCTTCCTCTAAATAGAAATTACTTACGACACAACTCAATAATTTACAATTTATTTTCATTTTGACTACATTTTATTATTTATTATTAACATTTATTTTCAAATAATACTATATTTTTATCCATCTATATGAGATCTCCAGTCATATTCTTCAACACACAAGTCAGATATAGATTTTGATATGGTTACCATGCATGACGTTCAACTCGATTACAAATTTCTCAACTATCAGCTATATGGAACCGCTTTCTCAGATCAATGATTAAAACACTTTCGATTTTAAAGAAGAATCTTTTATCAGACCTTATAGACTGGCATTGCAAAATAAACCACACCACAAGTTGTCTATCGCGAATTTTAAGAGAGTATCCCTCTTTTCAGACAGCAGTACGAATGTTGCAGAACGACGGAGAACGCCAATCCCCGTGCCATCGAGGCACACGTTTTGTACAGGATGCAATGGATACATTTTCGCCATTTTATATTTTTCATATCGAATATGCGCATTGTTTGTTTTTGATTTTTGCACAGTAGAGTAGGATAATTTGGGCACCGTCTGTGAGTAAAAGAGCACCATGATGCAATTCACTCCACCAGAAATTTGGAAATGGCATGCTGTACTGCTTGGCGTTCAAAATCTTTGGGTATCAATCTGATGACAGTGCAAAGGATTCAGAAAGAGTTAAATGAATCTAATGGGGATTAAGAATGTACGGCAGCTCGAAAAACTCACCCTGATCATTCCGATAAGAAAAGAACTACCGAAAATGTTGGTGAGGGCCTCTGCAAGTGACTTGAGGAGGTAGTGCTGCCCTGGGTCAAGAGGCTAGTTGCTGGAATACCCTATATCTGAAAGCAGGATACTGCATCATGACACACAAGCAGGAAACCCCCCTTGATTATTATGTGCTGGGCGCAGTTGAGCAAGAGACCAATAAAATTCCTTGTAACACCAAAGATGAACTGAAGGCAAGGATTATGACAGCATTCATCAACTTAAACAAAGAGACCGTTCAGAAGAATTGCTGGAGATTCCGAAGTCGTCGTGAGGCCGTGGCGATTTTATTGAATAAATTTACTCTTTATAATTTCAAGATATTT